CTATTATCATGGGTTATGTTAATGCCCCCGATACTATTGCATATGCAATAGGGATTTCAGCCTCTTTTCATTATCTATACTTCCCCACCCTACTAACGTGGGGGCAGGGACTCTTCTCCCATAGGTTACTAGACCATTTACTTCAAGCTTCCCGGCATGTGCATCAGTTAGTTACTGTGGCTGAACGGCTGGGACAAACTTTTGTCTGGTGGTTACCTGCCAGCAGTTCAGCAACACTGAACGGAGCATTCTGACTGATGACATGTGTGAGGGATTCGGGGTGCGATCACTCCCTCTCAGCCCGAGGGGGGAGGTCTGCAGACCCTTTTGTCCTCTTTTGGTCCTTCGTCGTGCCCCGGGTCCCTGCTATGGGGCCCGAGCCCTCAGGTGCGATCACCTCCTCCCGGACGGAAGGGGGGGTCAGCGAACCCTAAAATAGTTACCCGTCCCTGCGGGATGGGGCCGAAGCCCCTAGTTCGAGGTCTCCCCCCTCGCGGGGTCCCGACTCGCACTTCGCTCTCGCTACGGGTGTTAGGAGCGGGATGCTCCTCTAGGACAGGGAGGGGGACCCGGTCCCACCCTCTCTCCGGGTCCCAGCCCGGGGCCCTAAGCGTCGGGGCCTGCTAGTGCCCTGGCGCGGTGGACGGGGGTCACTCCCTCTGTAACCCGTCCACCCACGGTCGCCAAAAGCATCCTGCCCCGGGCTCCTTCCTCCCTCCTGGCGGCCCTTGGAGGCACCGCCCCGACCCCCAGAACCTACCCTGGCTCGGTAACTTGGATCCTGGGTCGTCCGGGCAAAGTCGCCGGGGAGAGCTCCCTTGGCCGGGTTCGCTCTCGGCTTGGCCGTTCCCTCCGGGTCTGGCGTGGTGGGGTTCGGCCCTCGTCGGAGGAGGGGCTGGCCGACCGCTGGTGGCGACGGCTGTCCCTATGGCCCCGGGGCCAAGGTCTGGCCGCCCGCCGGCCCTGGTGGCGCTCAGGGTCCGTCCTCAGTTGGGGGCCACTCCTCCGC